ATAGTCTTGTATGCCTAATTTCATGTTTGATCCTCTATTTCATTTTAGAGTATTGGTGTTGATACTGGATCTAGCTATCACCGACCTACTGTCGTACTAGCATCTAGTGCAGCACTTAGCCAATAATCCCCAATGATAGGCGCTACACTTAGACAAAGTATGAATCAAGAAGTTTCAAGTGTTAGATGCATGTGTGGCATTTAGCTATGCTTAACCTCTTTTGCTGGAGTAATCTCTCCTTTGTAAATGATATGGATCAATCAACCCACCAATAGTTCTAGTAATTCCCGAACAACTAAGTGCACTACCAAGCATTCTAAAGCCTCACGCATCTTCCTTGATTTTGTGTAGAACCATGCCATACTTATGTGGTGAGCCTTGCTTGTGCACTATGGCTCCCACTTGTGCTTCACCACACCTCGTGCATGCTACATCATCAGACCATGCTCTTGTGCTAACACTATCACCCATACCAGCCATGCCTCAATGAAATGGTTCCTAATTTCCTTTCCGTTACTACTAAGACAACAAATGTTTGACCTTGAATTTCAAAACCATGAAATTCCTTGCCTCCTCTCTGTTAGCTTGGTCCATGGCTTTGTTGCGCATCATGCCACACTTATGTTTGTGAACCGTGCTTGTACACTATGGCTCCCACTAGTACTTCTTCACCATACCTCATGCATGCTTCATCTTCGTAGCATCCTCTTGTGCCAAAACTACCACGCCTACCAGTCATGCCTAACATGGAACGAATCCCCAATTTCTTTAACTTTCTTATTAAACCTTAAACAAAGAATCATTTGACTTTGAGTGTTGAAACCTTGAAAGCGCCCGCCTCCTCTAAAGTAGCCCCCTTCATGGCTACCATATGGCCCTTGTATCATGAGCGGAACTGTAGTTTCAAATGATTGACAAGATACTTCCGCTTCTAATACATCTCCATCAATGCTTTCTTTGTAGAGGTCGCCACTAGCACATGTAGTTTTAGATATTTCCTTTTCAGGATCATCTTCTTTGATTACTTCAATAGCAGCTACCTTATCACCATTGGGAGCATCCTCAAAAATTTCTTGCTTCATGCTGACAACATCAGTTTCTTGCTTCTCCACGTGATCGACTACATTATATTCTAAATCCTCGATCCAGTCTTTTTCAAGGTTGATGGAAACCATCGCATCTATTGCTCGAGCCTCAGCTGCTAAACACTTTTTCCACTCTTCTTCTTCTTCAGCAACGTTTTGAGCCATATTACTCTCCTTGGCTCGGCAATATCTTTTTATGTGCCCTACTTCACCACAACGATAACATCTTAGAAGCTTCTTACCGTAATAGTTAGGAAACTCTTCCTTTTCTCCAAGCAAGCTTGAACCACCTGAGGATCGAAAGTACGACATATCTCTTACTTTTCCGAAGTTCCTCTTGTCTGCAACAAAAGCATTTCATTCTCCCTCTTTGATGAATACACAAACC